GTGAGCGGTATTGTATCCTTACTATAATATACATTCGATCATTTCAAGCGCGACGGCAGAGTTTTCTGCGTCCCTCCTATCCTTAACCCCAGCGTGACGGAGGGTCCAGTGGCTGAAGGAATCCAGAAAAAGGAATGCGAAAATATAACGGCGCTCAGTGATGGCGAGAGGAGAGGCCAGTAGCCATTATGCCGGCGAGAGATTCGCTCGCACTATGGGTCCCGTGCGGAGCGGAAATTTTTCAACATTGAGCTGAGCGGCTACCATTTGGCACAGGGGGTGTATGTGTGAAGGCTGATCACAAAAACATTACATTTAGAATTACCGATAATCTATATGCGGTATATAGGTAGTCATTATTCTGAAGAGATTGTTGTTGTGTTTCTGTCACAGTGGCTCTCGCCGATGGGGTACGAAGAAAGTTATTGATCGCTTGTGTCATTTTGTACTGTCGTGCACGCATTCAAGCAGTATTTTGTTACCTACTGGAGCTCACGGCTCTTATTTGACTCTTCATGGGACATTTCTTCACAAAAAGTTAACCTTCTGCTCAAGTAACGCTCCCTATTTTTGTCAGCTTGATGGGAGCTGAAGCTTTTTTATTCAACATACAAATAATCAGCATAGCATACTGCCCTCCTACTTCCATAATCATTTTGACTGGAAATAATTGAATTGGATTTACACTATTGATGAAGCAATGATGCTTTTTTTCCACAGCTAGCGATTAAATGCATAAATGGTTAATGCACAAATAAAATAATTGTCATTATAGAGTTTTTCTATGAGTTCGAGACCGTCTTGTGCATGATTAGCTTCGATTTGTTCAACAAACGCTGTATTGTGATCACCAGGCTTCTGCGATAGCCGAATTTTCCGGATTTTGACTATGTCGCGTAGTTTAGTACGTCGTCCGACAACCCACTGCAATCTTTTATAAATGAACGCAACTCCACACCCTCAAAGGAAAAAGCAGTTGAGAAATGAAAGACTTCTATCTATTTTTTGCTGTTGTTGTCAAGGCACGAACATTTTTTAAAGGATTCCATTGGCTCACAAACACACTTTTGGGTTCTTTTTCACTAAGGAATTCTGCTTTGCCCAAATAGAAAAGTGCAGAGCGAACATGGTTTCGCTGGCAGCAAAGACTAGGGGAAGGGGACTCAATGCGGCACGCACTTTTTCTTCTAAAGAACTCCAAGGGCTCACAAACAAACTATTATACCTTTCGGTTTTTTTCACTGAGAAATTCCTCTTTTGCCCAAAAAGAAAAGAGCAGGGAGTAATTAGCATGCTCACTTGCCTCCCTGTGCCAAATCCAAGCTCCGTAGCTCCAACTTCGCAAAAAAATCGATAAAATCGTCAAAAGTATTGGATGGCTCTAAAATCCAGTCAAAAAATAGCCCTGGTCACCCGCTCCGCCCCAAAGTGTATGTGTGCCAAGTCTGGTCTGGATCGGTTCATAGAACAAATATACAAACAGACATTTAGCTTTATATATAAGATGTGTACCAGTTGTTTGTTTTCAGAAGCAAACTAACAAGGAAAGTCTGCTTGGTTGAATTGGATACATGAAATTGATATATACCTACGAATAGAGCTTAGAATGTCTACCTTATCTATAGCTTCCATATCAAGCATTCTTCTAAAGAAAAAGTTAAGAGGCGTTTTTTTCAATGTCAAATCGTGCTTTTGGAGTCGCAAAAGCACGATTTTATACAAAAGCATGCAGGCTTAAACAATCATATTCAAGCACTGTAGGCCTAATCTGATACCATTTGCACGTTTTCGAGTGTTGTCCGATCCTGTTGCTATCCACAGGACCTCATTTTCTTTATAGGCCACACTTTCATTATATATTAGGTTGTCCCGAAAGTTTTGTCGGTTTTTTCAAACCGCTATAAAACCACGCACAATAAAGACCTGAACGAGTTTCAACGCGCATACGATGCAGCTTTTCCTCTTCTCTCTCATGGTTACATTTTCAAGCCACAATCCTGTATCCTTTTTTTGATAATTGCCACTATTCTTCACCCGTCACTTTTAGTTGCTCAAGTTTAGGCTAATTTTTAAAAATTTCTTTCCAAGGTTTTAGAAAGAGTAGAGTATGTAACAAATAGAACAATTTTCGGACTATACGGTTATATTTTTAGATTCTCCTAACCTGCCGTTTTTAGCTTTAAAAAAATTATTTCTTCGAAGGTCTCGATTTTTGGCAAAGTCATAAAACACGCAACTGCGACAAAAACATGAAAGTTGTTGAAATTTCGAGTTGAAACTTGATTGCTAATAAACATCATTTATGCAACATAACCACCTTCAATTCGCTCTGAAAAATCAGCTTTTTGGAGTTTTTGGTAATTTTACGTGGTAGATGTAATCAAAAGGCCGCGGTTTCTCTTAGATTAATAATTATTTAGGACTTAATAATCGTGGTCCATGTAATCTAAAATAAGCACAACGTAGCGGAAGGTTTGATCTACGTAATAGTTTTCAGCGCTCTTTAAATACAGCAGGAGAAAAATCTTAAAATTCAGGAAAAATTTGGCGTTACTGCTAAGCTGCTCAAAAATCCATGGCGATAACATCGCGAAGAATAAAAGTTTGAATCGAATGGTACCTAGATTGTCCTTGGTTTGGTGTTTTATGGGTTTTAGTAAGCGACGTAAGAAACCGACAAAACTTTCGGGGCAACCTAATATATACAAAAAAGCATATAATTCTCTGTAGGAAAATTTGAAATCAGCGTTTCGAGCTCTATCCGTTCTAATGCATCACCTTCCGAACCGCCGCTTCGAAGCAAGAAAACTTTCTGTAAGACCGTATGAAGGGAACCCACAGGGACCTTTTCGGCGACAGCAACCTGTTCAATTCTCGATCCTGCGCCGCAGCTAATGATCTGTGATTAGATGAACGTAACAATTTCTGTGTCAGCTACAATTGATTTTTGGCGTGTTACAAGTTTATGGAATTTTGTGTCATGTATGAAAAGATGACAAAATATTTATTTTAATTATCCTTGTTTGCCAAAAGAGAAATATTAGGTTGGCACATAAGTTTTGCAACTTTTCCCGTAACTTTTCTCTTATATTATGTAGCAATCTCATTTTGTGGCATTATGTAGAGCGTTATGTAAGCTGCAAGTCTGCGCAAACAGTTTGATTTTTGATAGCGTAGTACAAAAAATCTAAGCATTTTTCGAAAACTGCTGAAAATCGAGGTTTCACGGTTTTTTGGCAATCATGAAGCCCTACGAAACCGGCATTGAACATATCTAAAAGCAATTATGGGCGGCATGTAGCTAGAAGTGGATACATCGGAATCAGTAAGAAAGAAATGAAATTCAAACGCAAATCAAGGTGGGGCGCCTTTGAGAAGTTGAACAAGTCAAATGCGTCAAGTTTTGAAGACAATTTGTCAATAACTAAGCTGCGAAAAGTCAGCATTCGCTATAACTTTGCACTGTAGGGTAATCCTATACGGTGAACACGAATATCATATTCCTTTGTCGCTAAAATGATATAATTTTTTTTTGATCTCACGAACGAGGCCTTTTCATGCGAAACGGATCTCATTTTTGTGATTCGAATAAGCCCTATTAGTCAAGTTTCAGCAAATTTTGATGCATTCTAAAATTTTTCCCATAGTACCATAAACCTACCGTAATCCTCACATAAGATGGTAAAATTCGGCAAAAATGTGTACGTTAGAAGCTTACATCATAATCCTTATATTGCCAAAAAATGAACGCGCTACGTTCAAAGAGACAGAAGTTATATGAAAAGTTACATTACTTATGTGCCAACCTAATAAATGAGGTTGATAATTACAAATGTGCTAAGATTCTTCAGTCCAACGTGATGAAGAAGCTAAGGCCAGCAGTAAGCGCATGAACCACGTGTCCTGTGTGTTGTCGTGTGTTTTCCTGTTGTCAACAAACTGGTAACCATCAAGGCGTAGCGGTCACCTTACTGGAAGTGTGATGGGCACTCACATGACAAGCCGGCGGTTACTTTTTCCTATATCAGTTTGGCGCGCGCGGGTTCCCAACGGAAGCCAAAGAGCTCCAACATTTTCTGCTTCTGAAATCTATAGTTTTGAAAAACTTGTGTAAGCGTCTGGAAGAACAAATGGAAAGGGTATGGAATACATACGATGACTGTACTTCGAAAATCTATGAAATGCTGACCGACAGTGAAAGAAAGGAATCAGGAACATCGATTGAAATAGAGTTCAATGCTTACTGGGAAGACAAGAAAGGAGATGACCTGCTCCAACTTGCAACAGAATTATACGGTAAACTGGAAAATAGATTAGTTGAGATAGAATGCCAGGAAGCATCACTGAAACTTGAACTCATGTAATTAAAACACGAATGGGAAAATGAGGTTTATAAAAACGAAATGAGATCTGAATTGACATTCATTTTTGGTAGACACCTCTTGGGTGGAATAAAAATCCCGGAGTTTGATGGAAAGGCGAGTGAACTTGACTCTTTTTGGGAAATCTTTGAAAAAATAGTGGACAAACAACCTTATTCCAACATTGAGAAGTTTTCGATTTTGCTAAACTGCTGCAAAGGGGATGCAGCAAGGGCACTCAGAATGTTCCCCAGGACAAGCGAATCCTACGATAAAGCCATCCAGCAATTGAAAACGCAATTCCAGGATCCCAAAAAAGTAACCATGATGATGATAGGTCAGCTTAAAGCAATGAAACAATGCAGAGACAAACCTAGATCACTCAGGAACAACTTAAACGATGTACAAGCCATCATTGCAACCCTGCGTAAAAAAGGGGAAGTAGTAGACACAACGAACATGATAAGCATGGTTTTGGAAAAGTTTAGTAAGGCCGTTCAGGATAAAGTGATGCGTAAAGAGTTTGATTCAGGAAACGACTGGAACATGGAAGACCTCCTGAACAACATTTCTTCCATAGTTAGGCGTCAGAAGCATTTGGAAGGGCGTAAACAACCAGTGGAAAAGGGTGATGAACTTACGATATTCCAAATTCGAACTGCCATAGCATGTACAGGATGTGGCCGTAACCACCTATTCCAATCATGCCCCATATACCGTACTCCAGAGGAGAAAATTGAAAGACTAAAATCTCTAAGAAAGACTGCCGCAGACCTAACTGCTCCGCTTGCCATGGATTTCACAATGTTATAATTTGTAAAACGCCGAAAAAGGAGATTGGCACGAACAGAAACTGGACCCGCAGGACGCAAAGTCCAGGAAGGAGCTCTCCGAGCCCATGGGTACGAAACGAAGAAGTAAGGCATGGAATGATTCGTCAAAGTGATAGACATAAGTCACCTAAACGCATAACTGAGACCAGGCAAGAAAGCAGAACAAAAGTAACTTCAAAACCCAGACTTACATCACCTAAGGCGAGGGTACCCAGAGTAAGGTTCTCCAGTTCACCAACTCCACCTAGACAGAACAGGAATAACATCAGAAATTGCTATACGATCAACATCTCTCCAAGACAACCAGAAGAAAACTCCCTGATGTCTAGAGAAGAAAACAGTGAACATGCTCGACTTATGATTGTGCCTACGCGTATATTCAACAACGCTAACAGTAACTTTGAGGTAATATATGCGCTGCTAGACTCAGCAACAGACCAATCATTTATATGCAAGTCTGTATCGAAAAGGATGCAGATTGACATAGAGACAGAAATGGAGGTAACGGTAACGACCTTTGGAGGCCGAGCAGAAAACAAAAGAGTAGGGCACGCCAGTGTAACCCTATTCAATAATGAGGGAGAAGGAGTTGATGTTGACTTCCTCACTCACGAAAAAATATTGCCGAAAATTCACTTGAAGAAAATCTCACGGGAAGACTTCGCGAGGCTGAAGGAATACTTTGCGGAATACAAGGAAGTACCAACAACAGTGATTCCTCAAATTTTAATCGGCATAGACTATTTCAATATAGTCATCAAAATGCATGCCCCTGTGATACGTCTACCTTCAGGTCTATTCGTGACGTCTACATTCTTTGGTCCCGTAATATCAGGGCGGTCGCAATCGTGGAATCACGAAGACAACGAAAGATACTACGAACACGTGCTGAGGACGTGCACAGTAAGTACAGATGATAATATGATAGAGAAAGATAATATGGACTATAGCGATTTATGGAAGTTACAAGGAGTAGGCATAAAAGAATTCGCAGACAGAGACGAAGAAAATCAACGGATAATAGAGGAATTCTATGCAAATGTAAGGTTTGAGAACAACAAAATCTTCGTCTGCTTTCCTTGGAAAAGTAATAAATGCAATTTGGCAGATAATTACACCCTTGCAGTAAGCAGATTGCATCAGCTTTTGAAAATGAAGGATAAAAACCCTCAATGTTGGAAAGAATACTGCAAGATTCTGGACGACCAACTCACAAAGAACTTCGTGGTGGAGGTGGTAAGACCACCCAGGTGGTAAGACCACCCAAAAAGGAAAATTCCTGTTACTACATACCTCACCAAGCCGTGATCAAAGTGGAAAGTGCGACAACGAAGACGCGTATCGTACTGGATGCTTCATCTAAAAGGAAAGGCGAACTAAGCCTCAATGATGTTATTCATCAAGGCCCACTTATTCTACCTAACTTATGTGGAATACTACTGCGGTCACGCTTGGGGTCTAAAGTAATGATAGCGGATGTTGAAAAGGCGTTTCACATGATATACCTACAAGAGGATTCTGTGAGATTTCTGTAACTGAAAGACGTAAACAAACCACTCACAACCAGTAATTTAAAAATCCTAAGATTCTGCCGTCTGCCATTTGAAATTAATGCATCTCCCTTCTTACTCGCTATGTCCATAAAATATGGAATAAGCAGACAAAAACAAGATAACACAGAAGCTTATGACGAACTAGAGGAAAATCTTTATGTGGATAACGTCTTACTAACCGCTGATGATTCTGAATCGCTTGTCAGAAAGTATGAACTTTGTAAAGCAGTTTTCAAAAATATTTCCATGAATTTCAGACAGTTTATGACTAATGACGCAGCACGCAACAGGTTGATCGAACCAACAAGATCTATACAAGGGAAAGAACGTAAAAATTCTGGGAATACCATGGAATCCGCAAAACGATACCTTCTCCATAAAGTGCAAATTACGGTATGAAGAAGGGACAACCAAAAGGAAAGTCTTGCAAGCCATACCTTCTACATTTGATACTTTGGGATACTTAATACCATTGCTGCTACAAGCGAAAGTTTTCCTGCAATCATTATGGAAAACGCGCTATGAGTGGGATGACCCACTCTCCCCAGATGACGAAATGAAATGGAAGACAATACGTGAGAATGTAGAAGGAAGCGTGGTAATGCTTCCGCGTGATATCTTGCAAGGGCAAAGAACAGACAGCTACGAGTTGCATACATTTGTAGATGCTTCAGCAACATCCTATGCGGCAGCCGTATACATACGGACGCTAAACAGATACGGCACAGTGTAATCAGGCCTACTAATGGCAAGACAACGACTCGCTCCTATAACCAGCAAGAACAAAAGAATAACCATTCCACGCTTAGAGTTACTAGCGTTACTAATTGGAACGCGACTAACGCACTTCGTATTGAAACAGCTTTCATGCAAAGTCGATGTAATACGCATATATAGTGATTCACAAATCGCCTTGAAATGGGTTCAAACCAGTGAAAAAACAGAAACATTCGTAAAGAACCTTTGCAATGAGATCAGGAGAACAATAACGGAATGGCATAGCAATAGTAGGAAGGTTTATTTGCACTACATTAGTACAGAAACAAATCTCGCACTGTGCCACTCGCGGTCTAACTAAAGAACAAATAACAGGGCACTCATGGTGGTCAGGGCCACCTTTTATTGAGGCTAACACTGTCCAATGGGAAAGTTTCCCAGAGTATGTAATATAAGATGAACGAAAACCTAAGAACATTATCTTGAACCTGGCGCAACATACTGTAGCTCCTGTGGAACAAGAGGGCGATGAAAGGCAATTCATACTCCAGGAAAACTCGTTTTCTACGCTCACAAAGTATCGAAGAGTAATGGCTCTTGTAATAAAATTCTTGAAGGTACACATCTATGTAAAAGTCAATAATACACGAAAAACCCGCTTAAACGAAGTTTTTCCCGAGTTAAAAACCATTACGAACGCCCGCCCACTCTGCAAGCTAAATGCACAAGATTTGAAAACTTCAGAAAACATCCTCATCAAATTCATGCAGAAGGAAGTCACTCAGGAGTACAGGAAAAAATGGGAAAATCTTTGCATTTACAAAGACGATGAAGGAATACTGAGATGTAGGGGAAGATTTGAAACCTGTCATCTGGGAAAGAATATTAGGGAACCCATCATTTTGCCCGCGAAACACCCCATGACGACACTTTTCGTAAAGGAAGCCCACAACAAGTGCGAACACCAAGAAGTAAATTGTACTTTAGCCGAACTAAGACAACGACTTTGGATCCCAAAAGGTCGACAAATAGTCAAGAACTTTATTAGAAAATGTATAACATGCAAACGTTGGAATGGCAGACCGTACTTCTATCCAAACTCCCCTCCGTTGCCTCATTTGCGCATCGAACCCTCTCGTCCATTCGCTCATGTCGGCGTCGATCTGGCGGGACCGTTCCGCATCATCGATTCCGAAAAACAACAATGTAAGAGATGGGTATTGCTCGCAACATGCATGACTACGCGCACTTAGAAATCGTAAACAATCTCAGCGCAAATGAAACAATCGATGCTATCCGCCGACTAATTGCGAGGAGAGGAAAACCAGAAACTATCATATCCGATAACGGTACCAACTTCACATTAAGTAATGATATCTTGAAAGATTGCGAAAACAAAATTTTCTGCGACATTGTGGAGGAATTTCTGATCACGGAAAAAGTAGAATGGAGATTCATCACACCACTTTCTCCCTGGAAAGGAGGATTTTATAAGCGGATGATAGGCAACATGAAAAATATATTACGGAAATTCATGAGCAAAAGAAACATCGATGAAAGAAATTTCCTTACTCTGGTCACCGAAATTGAAGCTATGGTCAATATGAGACCGCTCACATATATGGGAAGCACTATCGAAGATTCAGTAATATTACGACCGATAGACTTTCTTATACCCAAAGCAAATTTAACTTTGTTAGACCCACATGCAAAGAAAGCGGAAAATGATCCTGATTATATTCCAAGGATATCAACGAAGGATGAAGCCGAAGATTATTTCTGCAAACAATAAAGCTACCTCAACAACATGTGGAAACTTTGGATTGTTTTACTGCGTGCAAATGGTATCAGATTAGGCCTACAGTGCTTGAATATGATTGTTTAAGCCTGCATGCTTTTGTATAAAATCGTGCTTTTGCGACTCCAAAAGCACGATTTGACATTGAAAAAAACGCCTCTTAACTTTTTCTTTAGAAGAATGCTTGATATGGAAGCTATAGATAAGGTAGACATTCTAAGCTCTATTCGTAGGTATATATCAATTTCATGTATCCAATTCAACAAAGCAGACTTTCCTTGTTAGTTTGCTTCTGAAAACAAACAACTGGTACACATCTTATATATAAAGTTAAATGTCTGTTTGTATATTTGTTCTATGAACCGATCCAGACCAGACTTGGCACACATACACTTTGGGGCGGGGCGGGTGACCAGGGCTACTTTTTGACTGGATTTTAGAGCCATCCAATACTTTTGACGATTTTATCGATTTTTTTGCGAAGTTGGAGCTACGGAGCTTGGATTTGGCACAGGGAGGCAAGTGAGCATGCTAATTACTAACCACAGGGGAATAGGGGATTGGCATGTGGAAGTGAGCACAGGGAAAGGTTGTACAGGGGGTAGGGATCGGCCCTTTGTAATAGTGTTTTGACAGGGTCGGGAGGAGCCGGTAAGCCAGCTAGTATAGCATACTAGCGGCCCTATGGGCCGCTGTAAGTGGGTCGGGGCAGATATATTAGTATCTGCGTAGTTGGAACTGCATCTAGCTATAAACAATGTACACATCTCTTCTTTAAAAAAGCTATAGTATCTGCGTAGTTGGAACTGCATCTAGCTATAAACAATGTACACATCTCTTCTTTAGAGAAGCTAAATGATTGAAAATCAAACTTCGCAGGTAGACACAAAAAATTTCTGGTCCTTCCTTCCACATACCATCACCAGAATTCAGTTATTTAATACAGCTTGCTTCTTTCGTTGCTTAGTTAAAATCAACATAATGGCTTCCCTAAAAGGCTGACCAATGCAGATGCATGGTGAGTCTTCACTTCGAGAGTCTTCGGGAGCAAGGGCAAAACAGAGGACTTCAAAGATGATTGACCGTTGAAAATCAAACAATAGGGGAAAAGTCCCATGGTTTGAATGCAATGCTGAAGTGGTTTAAAACCGTGGGCAATGTGGCGTTAAACTCTGTAAATCGGGGTTGTCACCGTTTTTCACGGCAATTGTGGGGGAAACATTATTTTTCACTCCAAGAACTGATCAGCCACAGAGAAAGCCTGCCGGAGCTCAATCAGCGAGACCACAGCTTCCATGCTGGGTCTTCACTCCGGAAGCAAAGGCATTTTCTGTGGCGAAAAGTCTGTCGAAATCGGGATTTTCACCGTTTTTCATGGAAATTGTTGGGGAAAACAATATTTTTCGCTCCAAGAACTGATCAGCCACAGAGAGAGCCTGCCGAAACTCAACCAGCGAGACCACAGCTTCTATGCTGGGTCTTCACTCCGGGAGCAAAGGCATTTTCTGTGGCGAAAATTCTGTCATAATCGTTTTCAACGTTTTTCATGGAAATTGTGGGGGAAAACAATATTTTCCGCTCCAAAACTGATCAGCCACAGAGAAAGCCTTCGAAAAATGAATTTTTTTGCTGTTCAATTGCTCTTCGGATTGGGATTTTCGTCAAAATTTTACAAAATGTTGAGCTCTGACGATTATTTTAGTTGCAAGAAGAATTACATTGCTTAGATTTCGTATAAAACTATTGCACAAAATGGCAAGGTAGGCAAGGAAATTTTTGGAATGAAGGTGAAGTAATGTAGCTAGCTTTATGAAAAGTGGAGTTGTGTATGTAAGCAGTAGAGATTGCTCCAGCTGTAGCCGCGATCAAACCGAACATACGGTATTTCATCACAATTCGTCATCGTAGACAAGGTCAAAACACGTGCCGTCATCGCATGCCGTGTAGGGTACGATCAATTGACAAATGTCGAGACAACCCTCTCCTCTCTAGCTTGTCTGCGGATAAGAGTACACCGCTTGTCTAAATATCTCATCGTTTAATTCCTCTGCGAGAGAGCGTGATGTCTTGCACGCTCACACTGTCAACAACTCCCCCTCCGCAACGCTGAAGGGGGTCGTCAGGGTGGGTGAACAATGCGTAGTTTTCGTCGTCTCGTCGGATGTTTCCAGTTTATATATAAGAAGGATTACATTTTGGAATCAGCTACTGAGCGTTCGCCTTGTGAAATTCCAAAACGACAAAAGTGTACGTCTCCTTTAAAGCGATTATCACAACAAAAACATTATAATCTCTGCATTTAAAAAAATAAGGTGCTTGATGGAGGGCAGTGTGCATGTAATGGCTATTCTGCATTCTGTCATGGAAGCTTACTCATCCATCACATTCAAAACACAAGACGAAAAAACTGCACAACAGCAAAAAAGTATAGTCAAAAAAGTTCAAAGAGCATGGATCTACAGGATAGTAAGCGACAGAAAGTACTCAACTAATATCTGAAAGAAAACGACTTATGCATTTTTTTCGGCGGTTTTTGTAAAATAACCTTTTGATCACTTTTTGAGCTAATTACAGTGTGCGAGAAAAGTACTGTCCCTCAGAATAAAAGCAAAAAATCGGCATAATTCCCAGATTTGGTGTTTACATAAATCCTAAGATGTGAATGTAGGAAGCGGAGGGAAGTGTGGTGTTTCTTGGGAAATTTTTTTTGTTTTCCCAAAAAATGTTTTCCAACGTGGTTTTGAGAAATCTCCTATTGCAATAGGACTTGCCCTGACACTGCTTCTAAGCTTAGAAGCAGTGTCAGGGCAAGATGGGGGTTTCGGGATTTCGATACTATGCGATTGGGGCGGTCCTCCGAGCTGTCCGAATTGCTATGCGGCAGAATACACATGCCGCCACAGTTAAAATTTAGGGTCCCGCAGCTACTCTGCGTCTCTGCCTTGGAGGAGACCGTCGAATTTCAAATCGTGCGTTTTTGAAAACGTATGTTCTTGCCGTCGCGCCTTCTAATGTGGATTTTTGGATTCAGCGTTGCGGATCCCCGGTAAGTAGATTTTCTAGAAATCAAACTTTTGCCCAGACACTGCCTTTATGTTGAGTGTCTTCGAATTATGCTGGAAGTAGCCAGGTCGCAGTTGTAATAGGAAAAAAGTTAGAAAATTTTTCAACGAAATAGCGTCTGCGGCGCAACACTGTGCGATGAGAAAACACAAAAACTAGGTACAATCGTTTTTTGACTCGAAATTATGATGTAGGCAAATCCCGATGTTCTTTTCATTATTCCTGTTATTTTTGTCCCAATTCGTAATTTCGAACCAGAGTTTCGACACAATTCATTGAACAAGAACAGATTTGATTAGCCTCTTTTTGTGAATTTTTGAAATTTGCTTGGGATATAACTTCCCTTGTTTAGCCAAAATTACAAGCCATTGATTCATAGTAAGTATAGAATTTTGTACAGAAAGTTATGCTCTACATACTGGTTTGATTTGAAATTGATAGCACTCTTAGTGGTATGATTAGGGTTAAAAATTTTTCAGACGCTGCGGCGCATCGTCGATGGTGCTGCTCGCTGTTATCGCTCGTTTGAACAAACAGAAGAAGACCATTCCGAATCAAACTTATCTCGAATCTACAAAGCCTCGCCTACATGTAGAAATCAAAAAAACTATAGATTTTCCCCATTTGGAAGATTTCTTGGGAAAAAAACTGAGGGACAGTACTTTTCCGCACCCTATATAAACCTTGCAGATCTCTTTTCAAACAAATTCATGACCTTGCTAAAGGTTCAAAAGTGCAAATTCATGACTTTCTTAAAACTTAAAGACTGGTAAAAGCCTGCAAGAAGAACGTGGGTCTATTTGACGCGCTATTCCGAATTATTTGCTTACCGGATTAGTTTGCCCTTATGCATAACGGTTTTGAAGGTAGCGCCCTCACACAGAACTGTTCCTAGACCGTAGCTGTGACGCGCTGTGTAAATATCGTAACAGCTTGACGTAGCGGTGCTGTACAATAATGCGTTTGTTAAGTTTGTCACCAGAATTAGTTGGAAATAATTTGTACTAATTAGCAGCAGCAGAAAGTGTCATAATAACATAGCCGCCACTTAAAGTGAAGATGGCCATTGTTTTTTGAAAATGTATGCGTCTTATCAGGGGACTAAGGTCCCCTGTTGATGTCTGAACATTCATAAAGATGAATTTCAGGCTTTACTCTAAAGGAAGCTGATTTTGCAGCATCATTAGCTAAACAGTGAAAAATAGTATGAATATAAGAAATAATTTTAAAAAATAGTATAAAAATCTCTTGGCAAACACCGATTGAATAGTTTTTCCTCCTGATTTGGCTGCACTCTTCTTTTCTATTTTGCCTTAGAAACGCTTTCGGAGCATTATTTCACAGCAGCCTATTTTCATTGGATCGCGCAACGATCTAAGTGAACATCATGAAACTGATGCGTTATTGCTCTTGCGCTTTGTCTTTTACCAGTGAACACGAAATATTAGGTTGGAAACTAAGTTTTGCAACTGGTCTCATAACTTCCCTCTCACTCAACATGGCGCACTCAAATTTTGTCATTGCGTTGGCTATTACGTAAGCTACAAGCGCAGCTGCTGTCCTACCAAATTCTGACGTCGCAGTGAGGGTTACGGTAGGTGTATGGTATGAAGGGGAAAAATTCAAAGTTTGACGGATTTGGCTGAAACTTGGCATAGGGGTTTGTCCGACATGCTGATCATGAAGACGATAATGAAATTCCGTGATAAGGGCTTTTTTATAAGATTGCTGTAGGTGTACGATATGGGGTCTCACCCTAAACAAGGAAAGAGGCGTTGAATCCATATTTGCGATAGGGGAAGCGATGGATCCTACCCCCTTCACTTTGAGGCCAAACTCCGGATGACCCCCTTCACCTGGGCTGAGATTGGTATTGTACTCTGAGAATATGAAATGAAAATCAACACTGAAAGATTTCGGAGGCTGAGTGCGTCAAAGAACAAGTACACATAAATTTACAAAAGAAACGTTATTCATATTTATTCATATTGAGAGGATTCGAACTAGACTTCCTTTTAGCCCCCCTCTACCGAGAGATACACCGCATTTTATCTGAAAACATGGCCATTTTCAACACCAGATTTCTGCCAAACGAAGACATAATCACTGCTGATTATCTATCTGTGTGATAGAGCAAGTCTTCATTAACAAACGTAGACCGTCGACTTTCTCGTAGCATTCATTTGGAGAGCAAAAAGTGAGGACACAAAATCAGTTGATTTTTTTAATACATAAAATCCCTCATATCTCGCGGCACAGAAGACCTAGAAAAAAGTCGACGGTCTACGTCGATTCTCCATGATCTCAGCTTTCGAACGGTATAAAGCATGTTAGGGCTTTTTTGCTTCCCGGCTCTAAAAATCATTTGCTCCAGTGACCGATAAGATTCAATACATTGGTGGAGCTGGGTGGAACAAGCTAACAGTAAAAAATGTGCTGTCGATTGACATCGTTATCAGCACTAACAGGAACGTGAGCGAACGCGTCTATTCAGGCGTGCTTATCGTTGTTATATGTTCATGTTTTTTCAGTGAAAAGTGTGCTGTTGATGACACTTATCCATCTTATTCATTGACGAGGAACCTAAAATGTTGCATATTTGAGTAAAAAAATGCTTAGATTGAAAATCATGCGATCGTTATCAGCATTGACGGCGAACGTTGCATATTCAAAACGTCGAACGTCAACATAACCAATCTGATCATTCATACATCAAGCCGCTGTAGAATACTACATACGGAAGACCAACGACAAGGTAAACAGCTAGCTTAATGCTGTTGACAACGCTCCCACAGATCGGAACAAGCCGTCTTCTTACCCTCGCTTAAGCGGCGGCAAAAATGTACCTTCCGCCATATCAGTTTCCGACACTGTGTGAAACCATGTCCAAAATGGGATTGAGGATAGGGACAAAACACCACACACGCGATGGCTTCGTGCAAATGACTGGTTATAAGAGCAAAAAGATGAAAGATACCTTGATCGACTACCTAAGAAAGAACCAATCTCAATTCTCACTCTTAGTAGACACATCCATGGATCCTGATAGCAAGCAAATCCTACTCTTTTTGCGCTTTCCGGATCGAACTACGTCGAATCCTACATCCACTTCCTTGAAGCACTCGAACTGTTGGAACCTGAGACGGGTAAATACATTTTCGAGACGATTTATGCTTACTTTCAAAAAACAGGGTTGCTCAACGAGTTTGTTCGGAATCTTGTTGCGGTAGCTACGGATGGAGCATCGGTAATGGGTGCACAAGGAGGGCTTTGAGGCATACTCAATACGAACATTTCGCAATCTTGTGAGATATGTTGGCAGCAAGAGGAGCTAAGCAGGTGTGATGAATGCGGTTTTGGCTGACCCAGTGATATGGGTGACTGCATGGCACACAAAGTTGAACGCGCTTTAGCTGGTGCTCTATGTCAAGCCAGCGAGGCATTTTTGCAATGGAGGAAGTTTGCGACAGCATCATTCTTGCAATGGAGGAAGTTTGCGACAGCATCATTCTTGCAATGGAGGAAGTTTGCGACAGCATATCTCAACATGTTGCGTTCTTATTTTGCAGCTCCATCATGGACATGTCCTATTAGAAATGGACAAATCTTTGGAAAATGAACGCTTCATCAACTTGAAACGGATAGTCGCGATAAGGCGGACTTCGTCAGAAAAATTTAGCACAGAATTTTTTTTGCTTTTCCATAAAAACATTCGATATTTCAGACGGTATCCACGGCTTCTTGAAGATGTACAAGCATGTGTGGCTTGTCTTGGAAAAAATATCCGAGTCTGCGAATGCCAGTGAAGAACGCTTGAAAGCAGCAGCGTTTTCGCACGTCGTCAAATCCTTGAAGTTCTACAAATATATGGTATTCCAGGTTACAAGTCCTAGGAAAGATCGACACATGGTCAAGAAATGCACAGATATGCCCTCCACTGAGCCAGTAATTCCTGTGTTTTTTTTTTGCTTTTTAAGGACGAATCATCGACAATCTGGAAAGCCCAAACTGACCTCGATGACGCACTCAAAAAACTACAATACCGCTCATAATTCGTCAAAAAAGTCGCCGGACTGCGGCGCACTCGGCGCTGAAATTACTCGAACATCTTGGAAAACTTGCTTGTAAGGGTTATCCGACCTGCTGATTACGAAAATCACATCTGCTTAGCAAGAGAGCTTCATATCTTAGAGTTACGTTGAGAAAAATTTAGAACGGCATGATTTTTCCAGAATTCACCAGCCCTTCTAACTCCTATGGAAAGATGTCTGTGACTACTTTTTAGCGGTACGTAATCTACAGAAAAAGTACTATCGAAAGGTCCTTGCTGGAGTCTACTAAAAGCAATGCGCGCTGCTTTACACCTTCACGAAAAGACGTCTACAGAAAGATTTGAGAATATTAAAATCGGAATATCAATGATATGCTGTATATCGAAAGATTTGCCTTGATGAACTGAACACAAAGCTTTCTTCGGATTGAGAATATGTTTATTCCGAAGGAAGTTACGGCGAGTAGAATTTAGAAACGCGTGATTTTTCCAAAACTCCCCAACGCTTCTATCTCTTTCGGGAGACAGTCTGCAGCTACTCTTGAACGCACGATAACCTACAAGGACAGTACTATCGAATAGTGCTTACTGGAATCTTTTATGTTACACAGACGCTGCGTTACATCCTTGCGAAAAGACCTCCACAGAAAAAATTCGAAAAAACTGGAAATGGAATATCGAGAGCATACTGTATATCGAAATATTTGCCTCGACGATCTGAACACAATGCTGCTTCTGGATTCGGAATGTATTCGTTCCGAAGGAAGTTATGGCGTTGCGTACTCTGCGTGATTCGCATGGTTTCGCGGATCCTGAAATGTCGCGAACTTCCCGGATTATCGCGCACTTTGGCGGAAATCCCGGAATTCCGCGAAGTTCACGGAAATTTTGACATTCTGTGGGCGGTATTGTGATCTTGAGCAGATCTTAGAACAAATTCGATCAGAGTGGCTCTCTACCATACTCCTGTACTATACTGTCTATGTGTCATCAGCGACAGATCAATGGTAATACTGTTATCAGCACACTGAATTCAATCAAAATAATAATCGGTAATTCTGAAAACTAATATTGTATTATCCCCATGCTCGATTACCCCCCTGTGCCAACTCCCGGCCCCGTAGGTAAACTCTGCAAAAAATCGATGAAAATCGATAAAATCGATATCGATCGATGACGAAAAGTAACCTATGACACCCGCCGGGGCCCGAAGTGTATGTGTGCCAAGTTTGGTCCGGATCGGTTCAGGAATGGAATTTTCTATTCGGAGCGTACGTACAGACAAACAGACAAACAGACGTTCAGCTTCATATATGGGATGATGCGTCTCACCGAGCTGAATCGAAAGGTGTCCTCGGATTCAGAATTCGTCCATTCTGAAGCGAGATATGGCTAAATTGGCGATCATTCCGGCGCACTGCGGCGGAGTGTGGCGCACTCTGCCGCAGTGCGCCGGAATGATCGTCAATTTAGCCATATCTCGCTTCAGAATGGACGAATTCTGAATCCGAGGACACCTTTCGATTCAGCTGTGGCGGAGTGTGGCGGAGTGCGCCGCAGTCCGGCGACTTTTTTGACGAATTATGAGCGGTATTGTAGTTTTTTGAGTGCGTCATCGAGGTCAGTTTGGGCTTTCCAGATTGTCGATGATTCGTCCTTAAAAAGCAAAAAAAAAACACAGGAATTACTGGCTCAGTGGAGGGCATATCTGTGCATTTCTTGACCATGTGTCGATCTTTCCTAGGACTTGTAACCTGGAATACCATATATTTGTAGAACTTCAAGGATTTGACGACGTGCGAGAACGCTGCTGCTTTCAAGCGTTCTTCACTGGCATTCGCAGACTCGGATATTTTTTCCAAGACAAGCCACACATGCTTGTACATCTTCAAGAAGCCGTGGATACCGTCTGAAATATTGAATGTTTTTATGGAAAAGCAAAAAAAATTTTGTGCTAAATTTTTCTGACGAAGTCCGCCTTATCGAGCCTGCGCTACTACGTGAATCGCAAGGAAAGGTGACAAGAATGTATATATTCGATAGCCTAAGCCTCGTAATCTACATTAAAGTGTATTGAGGCTGATTGGTCTTTTCTAGTTTGAGTTATTGAAAACGAAAAATGGAACAAACGAGATTTTGGCTTGTTCTTGATTAATTTTTAGGTGATTCGAAGTAGTACTTGGAAGTGAGCAAAGAAATAGTAGTCCATTTTATTAAAAGCAAAAAGAAGTAGTTAACACGTTTCGGACCGCGGAATTGCGCGGTTCAAAAAAGAGTGCACTTTCGGCCGTTAGCCAGCAAAGGAACCTTATTTCGCAGATTGTGGACTACATCTGTAATCAGCATACCAGATAAGCTCCATACCCAAAATTCTGGGTGAATTTGACGTGTTTGAATTTTGTCGCTTGAGAAGGACTTCTGTGCTTTCTTGAAAGATAGGAACAAGAACTCAGATTCTAATTGTACCCAAAAGTATCTATGTTGTACACCACACACGTAATTATCGAAACTGCGGTTTTTTTTCTTTGAATTTGAAGCAAAGGAAAGCCGCGACGTCGCACGCGTCGTTCGCGTTGCCGCACTTCGCTGCAACTGTTGTTGGATTTGTGCTCATATCTTCAAAAAAATATCGGCGGCACATCCTTACAGAGTCATTTGAAAAGTAAGAGCTTAGACTTTAACTCAGTAACTTCGGACTCAAAGAAAACTTCCTGCAAACGTCAGAAAGAACCTTCAAAGCAGCGTGCTGCACCATGTGCAGCGCCGGTCCGAGACGTTTGAAACAAAGTAACATGTTTGAAAACGACCATCTCACTTAGGTGGTCCTGTATTTGGAAACCTCAGAATTCGCTGAAACAGACCACAGGGGTTATTTTACTTGCTAGTTTCAAGACGATGCTCTTATGCTTTGTAGATCTTTGATCATGCTTACTGTACGTATATGATAATGGGTCAAACATCAGTGTGCTAGTATTCTGCATTATATGACATTGTTAACGAATCTCGTGTTATGCGAACAGCGGACGTTTTGATAACCCCCCCCCCTGATTTCTCATTACGACCCCCCAGGTATGGCATGCCACACCCCACGCTTGACCCTGCCTATGAGTCTGGCACGGATTCCTGCACTTTGGCTGACCGGGCGATTCTTTTTCGCAAGAGGTCCCTATGCCGAACTTCCAGTCAACAAGCGTAGTGCGACTAACAATGGCAACAATTCAAGACAAACAGAATTGCTTACAGCTACAATCAAAGCAATCTACAGGGTGTCCCAAAGGGCTTGTAGCCTAATTTTGCACTGCTTTAATTCAACAATCACTGGTGATTTTGATCTCAAATCTATATCACAGGATCCTCCAATCATTCTTCGTAAACTACATCCTTGGGGGTAAAAAATAATCTTCATGTTTGACAAAAAAAATAAGATTATCAACCCAATTCTATCTCAAAACGCAAAAAGCTATTTCCTAAAAGTTTGAAATTTATTCCGCTACTGCAAAAATTTGGCACACCGCGGTGCAAATTTATATTTACAATATAGAGGAGGCTTTGCACTACCATTACTATAATGGCTGCATTAAAAAATATATTGCGTCAAGAGAGGCGAGAAAAAACCTGGAAAATTGTCAATGCGTGCCACTGCAACTATATCTTTGGAATTAGTTTCAAATCTGTAGATTTGCAGCAGTCACTGAATTTGGAGTGATATCCTCTTCGCATGTTTTCTAGATGGGAATTTAATGCAACACGGATGACGAACTTGGTTTTGAAACACAATGTAGCCGATTTTCTGTTTTCATTTTCCGCAAATGTGTCCAAAACTCCACCATGAGATCTACACGTGCCTGCATTCAAATTTCCGTAATTGCAACCATAAAACTCACAAATTTTTCTAATCATGGTATGATGTTGCTAAAAGCTTGCTCTATCATACAGCACATTTTCTAAGCGATAGGATTTATTTTTATGAAAAATTGGGACAAATCTGATGATGACTGCCTGCGTGCCTCGGCAGTGGTAATCGCCAACAGTTTGAAGGCTTTCGTTATCAAGGAAAGATGCTACCACGAAATTCGAATGCTGTGATGTATTTGCTACTTTTTGAATAATGTGTACATCAAATTTATATCCCTATGTTGTACGGTTCTGTTTTTATCAGAAAAAATACTAGGCTACAAGACTTTTGGAACACCCTGTATTGTTTTAGAAAGGAAACACTTTTGTCGCAAATAAGTGAGGACGATTGTACAGTGTCAATAGCGCATACTGAATTTGTGGTTTCCACAGAAATAAATTTTGTTGAATCTCGCAATTTGAACTATACAGCAAAATGTACTGATTCTGAAGAGGAACATGTGAGCAAACTGTCGTCTCGCCGCTTACATAAAGGTCAGGACCCAGCGAGGTTGCGCTTTTACAGGCTGGAATTTCTAGTTCGTATTCGGCTTGAAAAGGCAAAAGAGAAGTCGTCTTGGGATCCGGAGCGAAACCCCGAAAAAAATTTCTACAATGTAAAGGAAATGTATATGAAAATGCACTAAAGTGTCTATGGAAATGACTTATTGGCAAGTTTCGTGTAAGTTGTGATAGGAAACTGTAGATTTGCGTTCTGTTATGCTGCTAGTTTTTTTCCTACTTCAAGTGAAACATTTGCAACGTAATATCCAAGAAGTAGTCGCTCGTGATGCAATAAGCTGAAAATGTGCGTTTTCAAATCCGTCCCGAACAGCTTCAAAAGTTGCCTTATTCTTGGAAGAAATGGTTACTAATCAACCTCCCGAACTATCATTTAAATATGACTACAAATTCTACATCACATTTTTATGTTTACTGGAAACCGTGTCCTGAAGTAGTCAAGCTGCTGATATCTTTGATGATCCTGCTGAATGACCATTAAAAAATTGCTTTTTGTCTTCTATATCAAAAAAAAGCCACCCACATCTTTGCGGTGGAGACCATCTGAGAACCGATGATATATGTTCACTAACATAGTGATAATGAGTGAATGCAAGCAGCAGTGTGATTCGTTTCAGCCTCTCTAGTTGTTAAAGCGCCCCTCATAAACTCAACCAAACGCGGACAATTCTGTGCTCGAAAAGTCACTTTGGCTGCACGCGGGAATTCAAAACTGAATTTTGTATCGAGTAGAATTGAATAATAGCCTCGTTTGCAACGCCTAGGCAACAATAGATCACGGAGTAGAAACAATGTACGAAAAATTACGAAAAACTTATGTGAACTCAAAGTTTTGTGTTTTTCGAAACAAGGTTACTCTCGCGCAACCTGGGAGCCGCCTGGGGTTGTTCCCTGCTTACCCTCACAAAACTTTCCCGATTTCTTTACATAAATGTAGTCTATGTCAAAAGCTTGTTACTGGTACAAGTCTGGTTCCAAACCACCAACGCGTTCACTTGCTGCAGCCCTAAATACTTTTTGTAAGGCAGGGTGAAGGGTGGAAAAGCGCACCAATCTGAATGTATGTGCCTCGAGGCACACATTTAAGACTGTGCTATTTTGCAGATCTACTCCTATGTTGTTGTCGTTTGATTGATCGTGTCGCTTTTCATTAGTTTGCGTGCATCATTCTTCGTCGGAAACATGGAACTATGGCGTTTAGGCAAGAAGCTGATGGAAACACACGATTTCGAATGAAATCTGTGATCTGCTCACAAAGGCCAGAATAGATTCTTCTGTTTGAGGTTTGATGCTGCTTCTTTGATTCAGATATATTATAGTTTACTTTTACTTCCATATACGGTCAGCCCAGCGGTCGTTCTACCAAGGAATTGTTTGAGTGGTAAGTGGCTGTTGCAAAACTGCTGGCCAAAATTAAGGCTTAGACCTTTTTTGTAGAGCCGTAAAGACATTTGCCCGTCTGGGTTACGAATCGATACCCCATTCAGGCTCTGACGAAGGCGAGAAGCCGAAACGTTAGCCAATAAAGTTTGTAACAATCCCGGCGTTGGCTACAAGACATCGATCTAGATATATTATACTTCTTCCATTACAGAAGACAAGTGAGGAGAATCAATTGCATGTCGATTCAGCTTGATCTCGGTTGCAAAATTAGGTACATTTCTTACAGTACAAATCCGGACTGTCTCATTCCCCGAAAATCTCTATGTTTTAACATTTAATTCTGCAAAAGGTTCTTTTTAGGCCCTTTCTACGTGAACATTTCAAAAAGAAGCGGCTTTATTGAGGTATATCTGCTAATAAGCTAAGATGTTTTTTGCTTGTGCCTTTCTTTGCACTCGAATGGTCCTTTTGGCCGATTGAAGCATACCCACGCTCCAACGTTTCCGTCAGTGACCGATGTGGCTTTCTCAGTCTCATCACGGCTCTCTCGTTATTCATGTGTTTGCTTCTTTCGTTTCCAGGCTTATTCTCATGCTTACATCCGTGAAATCAGTAATTTGTGACAAACTCTTTGAATAGTCCACAAGTTCAGCCAAAAGATCTTTAAAACAAAGCAGATTAGGTAGCCGTGCAAAGCACCATGCTTTCTATACAACACATTTTGTTGCGTACGTTATTCAAAGTTACTTCAGAGTTGCTTTCTTGCGTTTGTTCTTAGATTGCGCTTTAGTTCGATCTGATCTGATTACTGCTGACCTGCAGTCCGTCTCAACCGGAGCGTCTCCCGCTCTCCGCCTCGCTACAACCTCGCGGAGTTTGCGGGCGTTGGTTTAAGCTGTTAAATCGACCTCGTCAAGTGGAGCGTTAGCACGCAAGGTTCCGGTTTAGCAAGCGCGCCGCACGTGAAAAAATACTCCCAGTGAGACAGACTGTAGGTGCTGGTCTATGTTGCAACCGTTTGTTCGCACTTTTGTGAGAAAAAAATGCAAGTTCATTATAAATATAGTTAAGTTCAAAGGTGTCTGGATTTTGCGCAATAAGTTTTATTATGCTGAACAGTTTATTGTTTAAGAGGAGACTGTTGAAACTATGGAAGAGGGCATTAGGCAGAGAATGCTTGGTCAATGACGGAGAAACATACAATACCGCCGTAATTAGAATGTCGAACAACTTAGTTACACTAGCGCCAGATAATTTATATCCCAGTATTTTTTGACAAGGCTGTGAAGCACATCTCGCCCAACTAATCTTTTCTAATATTCTGATTGGACACAATGCTTGTCATCTTATAAAGGTAGGACTTAGCTTCTGAATACCTTTTGTCCACACACTGGCATTCATGTAACTCATATAGAAGTTGTTGTGTAAGCTTCACACAAACACTAGGCGTCAAAGAGGAAGTCGTGGAATTTTTTGGTTTTCAAAGGGTATATCGTTTCTCAAAATCTAGAATGCAACCTCCTGCCGGGCCCTGATAAAGGGTGAAGTATTAGGTTGAACCTAAAGTTCTGTCGCACCATTTTCAAAAATCATAACTTCTTTCCGTCACGACGATTTTGCGCAATTTGAATTTTCTCTGAAACCGTAATGCATTTAGTTTTCAAAAGTCCCCTGGGGAATTTTCAACATGCTCAGGTTGCAGAGATAAAAATGAAAAAGCGAGACCATCCCTAATTCGGAATTTTTAAGCAAGAATTCTAGAAATTCAGAAACAGTGCGATAAAATCTGGAAAAGCCATTATCCTAATTTTTCTTACATTTGATTACTATCTGAGTCAAGTTTGTGCTGATTGAGCCTTTCTTTCAAAAGTTATGATTTAAAAAAATGCCGATAAATCGATTTCTTAAGAATCCTTAGGAAATTAATTTTTCGGCATTTTTTTCAAAAAATCATAACTCTTGAAAGAAGAGCTCGATCAGCACAAACTTGACTCAGTTAGTAATAAAATATTAGGTCGTTCCGAAAGTTCTTTCCGTTTTTTCAACCTATCATAAAAACACATGGAATGAAGGTAGAGAAACGCTTTAAAAGCTATCCGGCGCAGCTTTTCTTCCTCTTTTCAACTATCATATTCCTCCGTCGCTCGCTCTTGTGGTCAGTGAGATAATGGCCGAAATTTCGGACCTATGGTTTTTACCATGTCCAACTTTGGCAATTTTTCACTATCTTCTTCTTTGACTTTTGGAAAAGCTTCAATAGCAGTCGGATAGAGTAAACAAAGTGCAATGCAATGCAATTTTTTGGCAATTTCAGCTGGCTTCTCATTATTTTTTTAAATAACTTTTTCAGAACTCTTCACTTTTCCGAAGTCACAAAACACACAAACGCTCTGAACATCAACAAATCTTCGGTTTTCGAAACTTTCAAAAGTCGTTTATGATTGTGCACTATTTTTACAATATAACTGAGTATTTATCGCTTTGAATTATAAGATTTCGCATTTCACATGTACACCTTTAGGCGGGTTCAAAATCAAGAATTATGGAAATTTTATCGCCAGAGACCCCACAAACTGTGAAGAAAAAGCACTCATCAGAAAGAGGAGAAAAAGCTGCATCGAATGACACCTTAGTTGTGCGCCGTTTTATATTCTATGGCTTTTGGCATTCCCAAAAGTGGAATTTGATAGCATCAGAAAAATAATTCTAAAAATGTTTTGAGGCTAGCTATAGATGCCGAAAAATTGCATAAAATTGCACTTTGTTTACTCTATTCGACCGCTATCAAAGCTATTCCAAAAGTCAAAAAAGAAGATAGTGAAAAGTTGCCAAAATTGGACACGGTAAAAACCACGGGTTCGAAATTTCGGTCATTATCTCACTGAGCACAAGAGCGAGCGGCACAGGAATATGACTGTTGAAAAGAGGAAGAAAAATTGCGTCGGATAGCGCTTGAAGCGTTTCTATACCTTCATCCCATGTGTTTTTATGATAGGTTGAAAAAACGGAAAGAACTTTCGGAACGACCTAATATAAGAAAACTTAGGATAATGACTGTTCTGGATTTTATCGCACAGTTTCTAAATTCTTAGAATTCTTGCTTAAAAATTCCGAATTTCGGATGATCTCGTTCTTTCATTTTTATCTCCGCAACCTGAGCATACTGGAAAGTACTCAGGGGACTATTGGAAACGACATGCTTTACGCTTTCAGATAAAATTTGAATTGGGCAAAATCGTCGTGACCGAAAGAAGTTATGATTTTTTGAAAATGGTGCGACAGAACTTTCGGTTCAACCTAATATTTAGGGCTAAAACGTTCTTTGTAGAAAAGTTTTTGATTTCTATAGAAATTGGGATTTTGGTAAAGACACCAGAGAAAATGCACTTTTCTCTTAAGAAAGACTTATGCAAACTATGGCATCTCTGTAGCATGAAGACGGATTTATTACAAGCTAAGTAATTGAAAACAAATTGTCGTTTTTCATAGATTTTGTGAAAATCTCGATTATAAGCATTCATACGGCAGAAAATAGGTTTTTACTCCTGAAGTTCACCTTGTATGCAAACTTGGTCTTGCTGATAGTATAAAGCTCGGTATGAAAGCTACAAATTTTTTTGAGCACTATACGTTGACAAATGTTCAATCGCACCATTTTGAAAAATTCGTGACTTCTTTTTGTCACGATAGTCTTGCATGGCAAAAATATTACTAGAAAAGCAACTCATATTTTTCTAGTGACTCTGCTAGCTCTCTCTGATCGCAGAGATTAAAATACGTCAACATCAGATTCGGTGATTTAAAACAAGTTCTCAAAAAATCCAAAAATTGGCCAACAATACATCCAGTGTCAAGGTCTAACCTCTTTTTTCTAGCTGAGCAAAATTTGCATTGATCGAGCTTTTCTTTGAAAAAAATATGATTTTTTTCCTAATAATTTTCCAAATAATTAGAGCTTCTTTACTAAGCTTGTGTACGTATACGACGGTAGGTCGCTGCCTTAGTGTGCTTGCATTTTGCATGATAGGCTTAGCTGAGATTGCTAACGGAAATCATATTTTTGCTGACATCACTATCACCGCGATAAATTCTTCTCAGTTGCTATATTAGCTTAGTTTTTGTTCACGATTCAATATAGACAAGTGGGCAGTTCGAATATATCGGTAAACTAGTGTCCTCTTTTGTGAATATTCATCCATCTTTTCGCTACTATAAAACGGGGTCAAATCTCTGTAAAATTTTCTACTCACCTGACTCGAAAATTTGATACGCATTATCACAAATTTTTATACAAGGTTTTTCTTCTTTCAATGTGTAATTTCTAGATAAGGTCCATTGACATCCTCTAAGGTAATATAAATTTAGTTGACTCAGGCACCGCAAAATCGTGGAGTGGTAGCAATTTGGTCGAAACCATTACATCATGTGATGGTTCAATCAGGGTCACATAATAGTAACCATGATCATTTCTGACGACCTCTCAGCTCAATGGGTCTTAGAAAATCATCACAAAAGCGAGTAAGCGGCGGATAACGCCGAGGCAGCCATCGGCGATATGTTACTTCTTCTCCTTCTCAACGTCACTGATTATCGACGTCTATTTCAGTCCCTTTGAAATTCGGAAGATTCTGATTAAACTAAAAACTTCCTTCACCGAAACGTGTGACGGTATCCCACAAGTCGTTTTCAAAAAATGCGCTTTTTTACTCCGCAAGCCCCTTGCAAATATTTTTAATATATCACTAATGTTGGGAAAACCGCTAGTAGCAAGTCTGGAACGAGGCATTACTAACAGCTATACCTAAGGTTTCCCATGCCCACCTCCTCTTAGAATTTCAACCTATCAGTCTGACACCTACACCAGTAAAGATGATGGAGAAAGTTTTGCGTGACAAAATGCTTGCATGGTTCGAGAAATTCAATATGATACCCCCTAATCAGCACAATTTATGATCGGATTATCAACTACTACCAACCTTGCTGTTTCTATTTTTGTCTGGAATTTTGCCCTAAAAAGGAGAATCTGTCGATGTCATTTACATAGATTCATCTAAAGCATGTGACAAAGTAAATCATCGATTGCTACTGCTTAAACTCGAGCAATTTGGTGTGAATGAAAATCTTTGAAATGGCTAGGATCATATCTACACAATAGAGGTATGACTGTTCGAGTGGAAGACCATTTCTCTGATCGATATACCTGTACAGGTGGTGTCCCTCAAAGTGCAGTTCTTCTTCATTGCTTTTCTGGTGTATACTGCTGATATTTCCAACATTTTGAAAACACCGGAAATCTTGCAGTGCAATTGTATGCAAACGACATAAAAATTTACAGCTGTTACAACAAAGATACCCAAGAAGCAATCCGTTGTGCAGTTATTTTAGCTTTAGAGAAAATGATTT